GTGTAGTGTTGTGTGTGTGTGTGTAGTGTGTGTGTGTGTGTGTGTGTGTGTGTGTGTGTGTGTGTGTGTGTGTGTGTGTGTGTGTGTGTGTGTGTGTGTGTGTGTAATATATATTATATATATAATATATATAAGTATAAATAAAACATTTTTTTTCTTTATTGATTCAATTTATTAGTATCTAATATTTTCACTGATTTTATATTCACACATTATAATAAATTTTTAATCACCTTACGTTAGATGTGGCTAAAAGATTTACGTCTGCCGGATGCTTCGGTTTATATTGATAAAAGGGATCATTATTGTGCACTGTCGATTTCATCGGATAGATAGGCGGCGCCTCGTTCTCCTCGAATTTATCATTACTGGACATCATTTCTCCCATATCGGGTATCAGATCGTACTTCTTGGGATTCATGTAAACGCCGGTGAATTTGATGCCGCGATTCGGCATTTCGGCATTATTCGTCAGATATTTGATGATGTCCTGAATGCTTCTGGACGAATGAGGGTATCGATATTGCGTCAGTTGTGGATACCTCGGTCGTTTGAACGACGTCGGATGTGGCGTCTTGAATTCCCAATGAAACGGCGTAGGTTGTGACTCTTCTGCGCTTATGTCCTCGTCTATATCCGGATATTTGTACCTGCCAAATTGATGAAAAATCGTCGTCATCCGATACATAAAAATTATCTGATGCCTTATGCAAATTGGTTTTGATGATATCATTAAGATCGGCTCTCTCTACGTCTTACGAGACGTAATCGTGATGAATGACGTTGACGAGATTCTGTGCAATGTACAATTTATAAATTCGATTTAGCATGCGCATTCGATTTAATACAACGTTACCTAACATAGAAAGTCCTTGAAATAAAAAATTAATGATATTCGCAAAATTTTTAGGATTTATATTTATTAATGGCAGAATTGATCCATCAATTTAATATCGCGATTTGCACGAGTGAATTCTTCCGCGTTGCATTACATGAAAGTCGTACTATCATGCCAAATCGACGTTTACAAATCGTTTGTCGTTGTTTAAACAAAAAATTTTTCAGCTTTTAATATTTTCGTTTATTTTGATGAATGTAATCAGAGAAATAATGAGATGTTATTAAGAAAATTGTGAGAATTAATCATGTCGACATGCCGTTTACCTCTGTCTCACTCGATAAACGATCGCATGATTGTCAAACAATTGTTTGGATTCGGGTTCCTCATTTTCCTTGGCATCTTCCACGGATTTCAGCATTCTCTTCCGCTGTTTGAAATTGTGCAGATTCTGCGCTCTCATCTCAGGTTCATCCGCTTTCACGATGCGTGTCTCGACCGGCATTATATCGCTTGTTGCGTTTTGTTGCATGAGAATTTCGTAGTTCTTATCATCCGAACGATCTTCCATGGAAAGATCGTCTGTACGATTAATCGCGGCTTCGTACATCGTGGAGTTTGACTTTTTGGAAAGATTCGATGATTTCTTGAGAGTATTCTGCAGTATATATATGTGTTTTGTTTCTTGATTGATTTTACTGTTCCCTGATGTGACGGACGTAAAATCGTACATAAATATCGCCACCTGTGATGATATTAAAATATTAAAATCGCGGTATTCAAATAATATATACGTATAAAATTTTACAATAAATAAAAGATTCAGATAGATTGATTAGTAACATGATCTATTAGAAAAATTATTTTTTATATCTGCAAGGATGTGCAAATAAAATTTAATATATATAACATTTCAACATGAATATTTTTTTAATAACAGGAACATATTGTTAGATCTTAATGTTAAGATTATTTACAAAAAAAGAATAAATCGATTGCGTGATTGCACTCAACAGTTTATAAATCAACGGTGATTTATTTAGCTTTTAAAATAGCAATTAAAATGCAATTAACCCACGTTCCCAAGTGGCGAGTGATGGTTAATCCGTACTGAAACACAGTTAACGCCCTATATGTGAAGCGTGCAGAAATCTTCGCTCGCTTGACTCCCCATGCATGGAAGGGATACCCGAAGATTCGCGGTGAAATTACAATTCCACACACGTCTCCGGTATTAATCACCGGAGAAAACGCACAAACTATAATTACGCCTATTGTTCTTCTCGCGCGTGGAAGAAACTCACAAAAAATTCCTCGCCGTTTAATTATTATCTGTCTCGAAGGCGCGTGCAACGAAATCATGCGAAGCAGGATGCGTTGCAGATCTCTATGCAGATGTGATTCATCGTGCAAGGTCATTGTCTGATAGAATGTGCAGCAAAATTATTAATCGTAAGACGTATGTAAGATGAATAAATGTCAATAATGTCAAGTGATGAGTACCGCTTCCGTATCGTATAATCCATTCAATTACAATGTATTATTTCATACTTTCAATTGTAGAAATTTAGTGGCTTTAATAACCAATTATAGAATATTAATGTGCCTTCGTCGCATAGAATTATTATGCTACGACAAATACAATTGAGAAACATATGTTCACGTCATAAAAATGGAGTATCAATTAGATAATTAACTAAATATGGATAAATAATTTGTTGTGAGATTATAATATTTATAATGTATAATTATGATATTATTGACTGAATTAGTTACTATTCTTTTCTGTTTTTCTGAGCTCTTTATGAACTTTAATTACAAATTTTAATTGTGAGCTTTCGTCAGCTAAGCTTCAGTTACGTTTCAATATAATATTCCTAACGAACAAGTAATTAATTAAAAACCTATAATTCAGCTCGATTACTCACCAATATCACTGTTACTACCACCATAACTCCAATCGCAAATTTTCTCACAATTAAACCGTAACGACTCCTATATCGATCACCGCGATCGGAATAAAGTCCTAGCTCGGATGTACTTATGGCGGATCTCCTGCCAGTCTCAAGCATCGCCTTCTGAGAAGTCTGGCGATTGATGTCCTTTACGATTACACAATGATGATATCGAGTAGTCTTAATTAATCAGCTTACCGTTGACATGCCCGACGAGCTTCGGCGAGCGATTTATCAATTCGTTTTACTTTGCCATTTCCATCAAGCGTAAAATTAAAAACGATCGACGAGTTCGATTCCTCGGCAATAATTATATTGATAAATAAAAGATGATTGTTATAATTATGATAGGCGCTATATAGAGCACACGACGTTGCTCTTTCGGTGCTTCCCACGCAACTAACGATCGCAACGAACATTTCTCGGCCCGCAGTTTTCACTGGCGATTCTATCAGAGCTGTGGAGATTTCCTTTGTTTGTGGGGGAGGCTCGTTATGGTAAGTAGAAGGCAGGTGGTTATGGGCTACTTACTTCGATGCCAGACGCGAGTGCCACTGAGTGCGCACGACATGCAAAGAAAATCTCTCACCGTTCCGGTGCTTGACCTGCTAAATACGCTTCTAACGCTCCATTTTCGTCCATTCGTCCGCCAATACGACATCGTGCATTTCTTGCTTGTGATATGCACTTTTGTCACAAGTGTCTACATACAAGTATTAAAAATAGTAGAAAGCGGTCGGACATTTCAAATAAAATGCCCTCAGATTTTAACATGTTGAGTTATATAGGATATGTATTTATAGAAATCAATAGAAATCTTCTGTAAGTCACGAGTAATAAATAAAAATTAATATTCTTTTGCACAATAATAAAAAATTTTTTTACAGAAAATTGACTTATTAAAATATTATTTGTAGGTATTTGTAATTATTACAAATCATTTGTAATTATTACAATACAATGAATAAATCAATATAGTCTCACATACATTAAGTTTTTCAGATATATCTCTATAACAAAATACTTTTATAATTAAACATATTTTAACGCGTAGGATTTTATGTTAATTTGTTAATTTATTTAAGACATAAAATAAGAAAAGAAATTATATTTTTTGATGTATACACATTATTATAATTGCGCATTCAAATGTACACACGCTCTTCACTGATTAGCGCAATTCTGTATTCACTTTATTTTTACATGTTAAATACATCGCTGAATTTCACAACAATGTAATTTACATAACTTTTAAAATTATTTCTGACTTTAATGTATACTTTGTGTTAAATAGAACACATATTAAGATGAAAGGGCATTATTATATAGGTGGCATTTTATTTTAAACATTTTTATTCTTTTTCCACACTCGTTACACATGTAAAAAGACATTCGTTGATGAACTAAATTCTCGTTTGATAACAGTGTGGCGAAAACAATCGATATATAAAAAAGGCGATACTCTCTAAATGTCCGGCAAACGACTCAGCGCTACTTCACCGACTATTAAATAATAATCTTTGCTAATATTAATATTACGCATACTAATATTCAAGATTTCGTTGATTGGAATGCGCTGCAAGTCGTTCACGTCACTGGTTCTCATCGAGTTTCGAATGGAATATCGGGGATTGGATAATTGTATCCTAATGTTGGTCTGGGTGTCGTCGGAGGCAGAGTCGGGGGTGGCGCCGGTCTTCCAGTAGGCGGCGGCAAGGTTGGCGTACTAGGTGTGATGCTGTAGATGGGCGGGGGTGGCGGCGGTGGCGTTATAGTTGGGTATACCGGTCTTGGGGTTGACGGCGGAAGATACGGTGGTGGTCTGGTTTTCGGTATTTCCGTAGTCGTTGGACCAGGGATAAATCTAGTGGTAGAGGGGGTTGTCCTGGGCGGCAAATAAGTAGTGCCTGGAGTGGAGGACGGAGTATATCTGGTGGTAGAAGCTGTTGTTCTTGTACTTGGAGTATATCTGGTGGTTGATGGCGTTGTCGTTCTTATAGTTGGAGTATATCTGGTGGTTGATGGCGTTGTCGTTCTTATACTTGAACTGGTATATGTTATTGGAGTGTAAGGAGTTGTTGTACGTACAGTTGTTGTCGTATATCTAGTGGATGGTGTAGAATAAGGCGGAAGGTAAGTAGATGGTTGAGTGACTGGCGGAGTAAATCGGGTGGTAGGTCTGGTAGTATATGGAGTGGTATATCGCGTGGTAAATTGGGTGGTAGGTCTTGTAGTATATGGAGTGGTATATCGCGTGGTAAATTGGGTGGTAGGTCTTGTAGTATATGGAGTAGTATATCGCGTGGTATATTGTGTAGTATATCTTGTTGTCAAAGGTGTTCGAGATGTCGTCGGCGGTAGATAAGGAGGTCCGGTTTTAGGGGGAAGTGGAGGAGGAGGTGGGATTTTAGTTACAATAGGTGGATATGTAGAAACTTTTTCTGTAGTATGAATATATGGTGGTTTTGATGGAGAAGTTAATGGGAACGGGGTGTATGATGGGGGAGAAGGAGTTCGAGGGGGTTGAGTTTGAGGAGGCGGAATGTATGTTGGGGGCGTTTTCGGTGGAGGAGTTCGTGAGGGTGGAATATATGGTGGTGGCGTTGGTCGTGATGGAGTATACGGTGGTGGAGTATATGGTGGTAGGGTTGGTCGTGATGGAGTATACGGTGGTGGAGTATATGATGGTAGGGTTGGTCGTGATGGAGTATACGGTGGTGGAGTATATGGTGGTGGGGTTGGTCGTGATGGAGTATATGGTGGTGGAGTTGGAGGAGTTCGTGAAGGTGGAATATACGGTGGCGGCGTTTGTGGTGGTGGAGTTTTGGGAGGTGGTAGATACGTTGGCGGAGTCCTTGGTGGAGGAGTTTGTGGAGGTGGAGTTCGAGGTGGTGGAGTATATGGTGGTGGCGTTCTTGGTGGCGGAGGAGTTTGCGGAGGTGGTACATATGGTGGTGGCGTTTTCGGTGGAGGTGGTATGTATGGTGGCGATGTTCTCGGTGGAGGAGTTTGTGGAGGTGGAGTTCGAGGAGGGTGGAGTATA